GCCCCTCCACTTCCCCCACCCCACAGAAAAAATGTCAGAAGTAACCCCAAGTACCACTGAGTGTAGCTTGAACAGCCTCCCTCACCAAAAACAAACAAATAAACAAACAAACAATAAAACATGCTACAGCTTTAGAAAGGCATAAAAGAAGACCTGAACAAGTGGAAAGCAAGATCATATTCTTACACAAAAATATGACATCAAAAGAAGTTAGTATTTTGGGGCCAGAGAGTGAGAGTTCGGGAGTCAGGGAGCTTGTGACATACAGCACATTCCAGTTTGATTCCCTGCATGCCTCTGATCCCCTGAACACCTCCAGAAGTGACCCCTGAGCAGAGCTGGGAGTCCCCTGAACAGGCACAGCTCACCCCCACAGCCAGTTCTTTGTGGAATTCGCAACAATCCGTAACTTTATCAAAAGAACTGGATTTTTCATTTTGTTTGTTAGAACAGTTTTATTAGAGCAGTTAGTTGGAACGTGTGAAGGGAAAAATAGAAACAAACAAGACAGAAAAATTGTTTTAAAAAATGTGGCAGGATAGGTCCTATCAGACATGAATGCTGATTTTTAAGCTATGGTAATTAGAAGTGTTCGGTGCAAGTGAAAACGACAAAGTCTAGAAACCAGTCGAGCAGAGGGACTGTAAATCAGACGCTCCAGGGAGGGCGGGGCTGGATCCCTGAACACACGCTGTTGGGGTAACTGGAAAACCATTTGACAAATGGTGTTGGGGGTCACCAGGGCAATTCAGGCCACACTCAGGGTCCTACAAGGCCTCAGCCCAGGAAGGGACAGCGGAAGATCCAACTTGCATCCCTGCACAGCAAAGCACCTGACGGGAGTACTCAGTTCCATCCCTGGCCTGGTCTGTTACTGTCCTAGCACCAAAAACCAAAACCCAGAAACCAAATTAGACAAACATATAAATACTGGACCAGGGCATAAGCCAGACACCGGTGGCTCTTGCATTTTAACTCCTTCAAAAGACCTACATGGTTTGTGTGTGTGTGTGTGTGTGTGTGTGTTAGTCTTTCAAAGTGCTATGCCAAGTTATTTTGTTGTATTCACTATTCTAAGGTTCACCCATTCTGTAAGTACTTTGAAAAAAAAAAGAAAACTGAACATACCCATTCCATACCTCCTACAATTACCATTTCAAGTAATGTTCAGGTACTGAAGGTTATTTAATTTACCCTCCATGATAAAAAAAAATCAAATAGGAAGCAAGGATTGCTTTTAATAATAGAAGCAAGTTATCTTCTACAATAAAAAAAAAATAAAACAAGAAGCAGTCTAGAGCATGTATACCATCCACAGTAGTAGCACATCACTATCAAACCCAGTTCCTTTCTGAGAAACAACAGCCGTGTGCAAACCAGCCCTCAGGAGAGAGAGCCGAGGTGCAGGCTGTATTCCAGTCCGGGGCCTCTTAAATAACGACAGGGCAGGGGAGCCAGCTCCGGCTCTAACCAAAGACTGAGAGGGCATCTTCAAGTAGGCATAAATAGGCACTGCCTCATCTCCCAGAACAATTAGCCACCTTCTTCCGCCTCTGACACACCCCATGTCAGAATACAGCACCCCCCCTCCCCGCCCCTGAGCTCCCATTTGCATCTCAGACTGCATCTCCCCCCAGTTCCCAAGAATGCACCTCCCACCACCCCCGGCCCCATCCAAGAGAGGCGGGATTCTCAAATCTGGAACCAGTGAGAATGCAAACCCTGAGACTGGGCAGTGAGCAGAGGAAAGGAAAGCTCACCCACAGGTCACGTCACGGGGAAACTGCAGGATGCGAAGAGCCAAGAAGTAACCACCAGAGACCCACACCTCCCGAAGCAGGAGCCATTCATTATCTCCTCCCCATCCTTCCTTCACAGATACCTTCCCAGCTGGAAGAAGCTCCCCATGGCTGATTCATCCTCCCTACAACCCTCCCCTCGTAGACTCCGCTTTCAAATCCTCGGTCCTGGACAGCATCATGCCTTCCTGTGGACCAGCTCCTGATGTACACATTTCCATTTTCCTTGGTGTTTTCTTCACTATGAGTCCCATGTATCCACCATGCACAGATGAAATGAATCCTTACTTGAGCATATAAATGGATGGTTATGTGAATGAACACCACCACACTCTGAAAGTGAAATTCTGCACCTCTGTATATATTAAAGAAAAAACTTTGCAAGGAGCACCAGAAAATTTATTGCTGAATTTTCTTTTAGAAAAATGCAATAGTCTCTGGGCCAAGGGCGGGGCAGGACTAACACAAAATTCTTAGACCCACCCAAAGCAACAATCGTTGCTCCCACCCCCACCTCCACTGCCCACCCCCACCCTTGAAAATATTTTCATTTGGGCAAATAGTTTGCGTCTGCGGCTCTGAAGTTCAGATCACACAATCACCCACCCTGCTACTCCCAGGGCTCATTCCTCCTGCAGTTCTGGTGCAAAATGCTGGGGATCACATAGGCATTTAGCAAAAATGAAAACATCACCTACTCGGAAAAGCCTACAAGGGAATTTTCTTGAAATTTAAATATCCCATTTTTCTCAACCTTAGGCAAAATTCAGCATTTTGGTGAGGACTTTTAAAAAACACGGAAAAGCTGGGAGAGTATTTGCATGTGTGAAGCCTGCATTCCCCAGCACCTCGAGCAGGCCCCAGTAACATCTCCTTCGTCCTAGCCCTGAGATTTTTTTTAAAGTGCCATATTCAAGTCTCTTTCAGGGTTAGAAGAATGAGACCCATCATTGTTACTGGTATTTGGTATATTGGGTACACCACGGGGAGTTTGCCAGACTCTGCCGTGTGGGCAGGTTACATTTGGTAGCCTGCCAGGTTGTACAAAGTAAGAAAGAGATAATAAGATGTCGTGCAGCTGCATTTGTGGCTGCGTGCTTCCAGGAGCTGGGTTTTATAGCACCATTAAATAAAAAAAAATCAATAGCACCAAAGAACATACTAAGGCTGGGAAATGATGTTGTTTAGAGAAAAATATATTTCCATTATTTTATTATCTATGATGAACATTAAAAGATGCACCATTGTTTTACAAACTACCTCACTGAAAAAGTCTTTCCCAATTCAAGTTGCCCTTACCATCAACAATACAACGCCTAGTGTACAAAGTACTTCAAACGCCTAACCTGGATTGTAAAATTGCTAAAAACAGTATTCCCTCTTGAGCTATTACTACTAAACCCAATGTTTCTTTTATTATGACACTACTATGTGTTTATGTGTGTCTGTGTGTGTAGGTACTTAACAAACATTTGCTGATTTACTGTTAAAGATGATCTTCTTCCTTTAGGAATATAAAATTTTAAAAATCAAGAAACTAGTTTTTTAAAACTTCTACAGAAATTATTAAAGAATTAAGTAGATCAACAGGGAAACAAAAGCATGGCAACTTGAACAGATGAAGAAAGTTAACATTTCCAAGAGGGAAAAAAATCATTCGAAGAAGGAAGGGAGGTGTCAGATACACAAAGATACAAACGCTCCAGTTTGCTCAGGATTCGAATAGAAGTAGAATAAACAGCTACTTGACTGAATGCTTAATGAATAGTGTAATTCTCTTCTGAATTCAGCTAATTCATACTTGGTGATGTGAGAACTCCACCACTAAGGCCTTAGTAGGTAAAAATATCTGACACCCTGTGCTGCCAGTTGTGGACATTTGAATAACAAGGAAAATGAGGAAGAGATTTGATGGCGCAATCTTCCCTTGCAGAATGCTGCTACACTGACCTGCTCTGGGGGTCTTTATTTTTCTCCTTTCTGTGGTTATTCCTGGTATAGGGGATTCACTGGTTCTTGGGTGGTTTGTCATACAGTGACACTGGGCTCAAGTAAGCTTTCCTTGTTCAGTCACACTACTGGTTTGTGTTTGTTCGCTTGCTTGGTTTGAGGGTTTTGTTCCTGTTTTTGTTTGGTTTGGGAGCCACATGCCGTGGTGCTCAAGGATCACTCCTGGCAGGGCTCGGGCGACCATATCTGGTGGTGGGAATTGAACCCAGGTCAGCGACATGCAAGGAAGGAACCCTATCCTACCCACTGTACTATGGCTCTGACCCAAATCTCATTCTTTGCATCCTGTTAACCTTTCTCCTGTCAGAGTTCAGTCACTATGTACTGCATCAAAGTTATAGATTCCATTTCCAACTGGGCCATCAGGGTTTCTGGGAAGGGTTTACACATTGAAGGAACTGAATAGTCGCTGAATGAATCAGTGATTCATTCAGGGGAATAAATATACAAAACTTCAACAACCTCATGATAAACAGGGCCTTATCAACTTCATAAATGAGCGGGGGGAAAAATCTAATAACTGAATACTTATGGTTTAAGTATTACAGTGGGGCCCGAGTGAAAGAATAATTAATAAGGCATTTGCCTTTCATGTAGCTGTCCCGGGTTCAATCTTCAGAACCCCACATGATTTTCCAAGCACTGACAGTACTGATTCCTGAGGACACTCATTATTCCTGAGAGCTGGGAGTAATCCCTGAGCACTGTCAGGTGTGCTCCCTCCCCCCGCAAAAAGAGTAACATTGAGATAAAATCTTTTCTAAACAGTGTCTGCAGAGACGTTCATTTTCAAATACAGAGTCTAGGGCACTGATTAAATTCCTCAACAAAATCTTGAGAGGGATTTCTGTATGTGCTAAGATCAAAATTATGTGGGGGCATTTTTTTTAATCTGTTTTCATTTAAGTGGGTTAAGCATCTGAAACCACTATGTTCTACTTTCTTACATTCCTATAGTTTAAAAGCAGCTGTACCAATTTTTCTTTTTTTCAAAAAAAATTTACTGGTTAGTAATAAAATTCTGAAAATAGAGATTCACGATGAAAAACTATCTCAAATTAAAACTCTGCAAGACCCTTATAAAACTCCGAAGTTTTTGTTCTAATTACTTGGACTCATGGTGAGTTTATTTGCCTAACAGTCTAGAATAAGAACATTTTGAAAAAGCAACAATATTACCATCTTACTCACTTCAAAACTTCCTCAAACTTTTGCATTTTCTTCTGAGCGTCTTCCTTTTCTTGACTGAGTTCACTCTGTAAGTCATGAACCTGCCGTGACAGATAAGTAGAGGTCATGAAAACAGTAATCCTAAATCTGTGTCTAAAAGGAAATTAGATTTAGATATTTCAAGAAACTTTGGTAAACTATAATCATTTGACCATAATCACAGAACTACTTCAAGACTAGACTTTTAATGCCAATTTTCTGGCCATACGTTAGTAATTGCTCCAATTATGCGGATTCCCTGCACGGTAAAACTGCTGTGTAAGAAACTTAAGAAGAGAGAAACTCATTTCTGCAGTTTTTAATCTATGTGTTAGCCAGAGGAACCTCCTGAGAGTCTGGAGAACAAAAAAAACCGTGCCCACGTTTCCTAAACACATACAGATTAAGACCCTATGCGTGTTCTTTCAAGAGAGTGTTCGGCCGCTGGGAATGGTTCTGACAGCCACGAAGGGCATGACCCACTGGACTGTCTCCAGCAAAGGTAGCATCCTTGGAGCAGGTGGGGGACTATGAAGAATGAACTCAGGGAAACATGTCTCTTCAGAGAAAGCACTTTCCATGCAAACACAAAGAAGCAAACACTCTAGGATGAGAATAAAAGAAAAGGAACGCCAATGCAGCTGGGGGGCAAAGGAGAAACTCAACGGCACCTGAGAGTTCCACAAACATGCTGAGGATTCAGAGTCGAGCCGATGGGGAAACTCTCTAGTGATACAAATGTATATATGTGAATCTATATCACATATACAAAATGCATATGATATATGACAAGTATATCTCATACACACACGTGTGGCAATCCAGATGAAGCTGAAAGTAGGAAACAAGAGCGCACACACACACACACACACACACACACACACACACACACAGCACACCATACCCAATGGAGAATCACGGTCACGGTCACTGTCCTCCCGTTGTTCATTGATTTACTCAAAGGGGCCCAGTAACGTCTCCATCATGAGACTTGTTGTTACTGTGTTTGGCATATCGAATACGTCATGGGTAGCTTGTCAGGCTCTGCCATGTGGGCGAGATACTCTCGGTAGCTTGCCGGGCTCTCGAGAGGGGCGGAGGAATCGAACTCGGGTCAGCCATGTTGGCTGTGTGCAAGGCAAACGCCCTACCGCTGTGCTATCGCTCCAGCCCAATGGAGAATCAGCTGTTTCTATTCATGTTAATGAGGCTCTACTTATAGCCACTAACCTTTTACTTTTACAATTCCTCTTGTGTATTTTTTACGTTTTTTTTTTTTGGTAAAATAAATCAATAAAATCAACTGCTTCCTTCCTTACAAAAGAAAAACTCTGAAAGGAGTGGGAAATAAGTTTTCCACGAGAAAGTGCAGGAGCTTGTGCTGGGTGAGACAGTCGGAAGCGGGCACGGGCTAAGAAGGAAGGATGTGGAAAAGATGAGGAAGGCCCCGAAAGGAAGGGCTTCCTCTGCCCTGCGTTTTGTAAAATAAAAACTGAATTTTAACAAAATTAAAATACCTCATAATATTTTTTTTATTTGGGAAAAAATGAGCATTTTGTGCTGCTAAAAAAGGAAAAATGGGTAAGCGGATATGTTTGGACCATGCCCTGCAATGCTCAGCGCTTACTCCTGGCTCTGTGCTCAGGGATCACTCCTGGCAGTGCTCGGGGAACCATATGTGGTGCCAGGACCCGAACCAGGGTTAACCACATGAAAGGCCAGCTCCTGAATCTCTGTACTATCTTTCTGGCCCAGCACTGCCAAATTTTGTCACTACATTCATACAGAAAATAGTATGCTCAAAATTTTGTCAGGGTTAATAATTAAAACAAGTAGCTAGATAACTAAGATACTGATTTGTCTTAATAATATCTTAGTTAATATCAAATTATATCAAATCAATAATATCAAATTCCTAATAGGTTATACAGTGTGTGGTTCATAGTAGGCATACACAGTTGGGTTAACATTATCACCACAGGACCGATAACTAAAAAAGCCACAGAAAGAAAAATGAACTAACAAAGCAACAGACAAAGCCTTGGAGCACAGGCCTCTGACATCCTGAGAGAGTGGAATCAAGTATTAAACCCCCAAATCAAACTCAAAGAGGACCTTGCAAGAAGATGTGGGAAACAGAGACGGTTTCCTACCAGTAAAATCCTCCTTGAAATAAAATGGGTGGAAATCAAAACACTCGATCAAATAATAATGCGGGGAAGGGGGGGATGCAGGGGTTTAAGGAACTGGAACACACCCATTGCGTGACGATCTGGGTTCATTACCATAAGGGCCCCCGGGGACATTGAGAGCAGCCCCTGAGCACTGAGCCAGGAGAAGCTCCTGAACACCACAGGGTACGTCCGCACCAAACAAGGAAAAATAAGATTTCCAGAGAAACAGAAATATTGGGTGCTGGTGGTAGAGGTTCCAGGGTCAGCTACACGCAAGGCAAGCAGGGCAACTCCTGTCCCCTCTCTCCTGACCCAGTACTGGATGGAATGGAGTGAGCACTGGGAAGGAGGTGAACAGAAAGATGAGCATCAGCCAGCTAATGCTTTTCTGATTTACCGATTTACCTATGATTCCCCTATATATCACCATTTAGCTATTCACCAGTCTTTGGCTTTCTCTGTCCATTTTGTCACAAATACAGATTTGGATTTTGCTCAGATTATATATTTTCTTTAACAGAGGAAATCACTGGATTCCCGGCTACCACTAAAATACTCTCATTGATACAATTTCCTTTGTGTTTCCTCTGTGTGTGTGTGTGTGTGTGTGTGTGTGTGTGTGTACTTCGCGTGCTTCGTTTTAACTTTTTTTTTATTCTAACAACTCCACCTCCTGCTGTGTTCAGATGGATTGACAGGTAATCAGAGAGTTTTTCATTTCACTGAGGCTAGCATAAAACACAACAGGTTTTTCAGCTATAGTTTGTTCGTAGAGAAAAACTCATTAGGTCTGATAATTTTTAAAATGGCAGTTCAATACATGTTTACTTCTCCTATCCATTATTTTTTAAAAAAATAATACGAGAACATTGATCCAAGTGCTATTTGAATCGTTTTAAAATTTTACATCCCTTCTCTCAAAAATCTCTCCTCACACTTACATTGGTTCATATTATGTACACGATAAACACAAATTCATCCCGAGTTAATGTTGACGGTCCTCACTCCTTTTTCTTCTCTTGCATACATTTTGCTGTTTTGTTTTGATCTGATATTTGGCTTAGCCTTAGGGTGATTGAAGAACACCACCAAGTAATTTGTTTTCAAAAAGAACAAGAGTGAGTCACCGCTGGGGCTTTGAGATTCTGCTGCCATGAGACATTACGGAGAGTTTGTGCAGAGCCCACGATATTACTCTACCACATTTAGGGCTGCAAATAAAAAGACAGCCTATGCCAGGCCCAGGGCCAGAGAGCTAGGACACAGGGAGCCTTGCATGAAGCTGACCCGGGTTTGATCCCTGGCCTCACAATTCAGTCCCCTGGGAGCACCAAGAGTGATCCCTGAGCATAGAGCTGGGAGTCAGCTATGAGCATCCTCCCAGCCCCAATTTTTATTTTTTTTTTATTGACTCACCGTGAGAACAGTTACAAAGCTTTCAGGTTTAAGTCAAGGTCATACAATGATCAAGTACCCATCCCTTCACCAGCACACATTTTCGAACACCAAGAACCTCAGTATACCCCCATCCCACCCCTCCCCCTGCCAGTGTGGCAGATGATTTCCACTTTACTCTCTCTCTCACTCGACTTTGATTGCATTCAATTTTTCGACAGATGACCTACCATTATTATTTGGAACTTCCCCCCAACATTCAGACCTGCCAAGAAGGCATCATTAGATAATTTGTTTTCTGTTGCTGATAACGAAGAGCATATTGGGTTTCTTATATTTTAGTAATTTAGTCCGGAGGGATTTCTGCCAAAAGCCGCTGGGTTCTGAGATTGGTTTGTGTGCCTCTGGGATCATGGCCATTCAGGAGCCATAGGAGCTGTTTATGGGCGGCAACTTGGAGTCCCATCAGGGCGGGGAGAAGGGCCGGTTCCAGCCCCCACTCCATGAGGCCCCACGTGTCTCGTAATTGCAGACTCCAATAGGTTCTGAAAGATGGCGGTCACCATGCTGCCAAGGGGAAGAAGGCAGAAGGGACAACACCCTTTTCCCCCTGGGTCGTAGCTTAATTCACAGTACAGAAGCATGAGCCACCATGCGATACAGTTACAAAGCTTTCATGTTTGATATTCAGCTACACAATGATCCATCACCCATCCCTCCATCAGTGCAAACTTTCCACCAATAATATTCCCATTACCCCTCCATTTCCATCTCAGTCCTTACCCTGCCTCTACAGCAGACAATTGTTCAGATACTCTCTCCATAGTTTTGTGCATTGTGTTTTGCTTGGATATTCCCACTAAGTGGCCATGTGGTTCCAAGAAATAGTCCTGGTCCCCACCTACTGGAGCCATGCTTGTAGAAGCTCATGGTCGCCAGGATTCCATCTGGAGAAGGTGGGGAGACTGTACCTGTTCCATCTGGCCAGTCCCAAATTTTTAAAGAAATAAGTGTACCTGACTTTTGCTTTACTCTCTCTCCTAACCCAGTGCTTAGAAGACCCTTCTCTCTGTTTTGCCACTCAAAGATATATATTCTTTTTCTTTTTGGGTCATACCTAGCGATGCACAGGGGTTACTCCTGGCTCTGCACTAGGGAATTACTCCTGGTGGTGCTCAGGGAACCCTATGGGATGCTGGAAATCGAACCTGGGTTGGCCCTGTGCAAGGCAAATGCCCTACCCGCTCTATTGCTCCAGCCCACTCAAAGGTATTTTAATCTCCAAATTCTGTGGCAACTTTCTCTGGTGTCTTTAGTTATTTTTATGTTAACTTATCCTGATCTGCACTTTGGAACACAGATTCAGGACACGGAAGCCCATTTGTTTTGCCCAAACCTCTGCCTCTGTTGTCAGGATGGTTTCTTCTGGGTCCTTTCCCCCCACTGTTGCATTGGTGTCCACTCGTGGCTGGATGTCCTGCACCATGTCCATG